CCCCCCCCCCCCCCCCCCAAACGGCTGGTTCGCTGGAAGAGCTCCTAATTACCAGAGTATTTTATTATATATCTTTTCACATTCATTCATTTAAGGATTACCTTTTTTTGAATAATATTTATTATTTAGAAATATCGGTGATTATTTAATTTAAAAATATATTAGAAATTATCAAAATTTATAATTTATATTTATTTATAAATAGAGTATAATTTTCACATGCTTTTACATCCGATTTCAATTCTTATTTTTAATTTCTTTTTATTTTGTTTTCCAACCGATGATTAATTTTCCAAAATTTTATTCGAATCTACCATGGATCATGCGTTTTTCTATCATAACTTATATTTATTTAATAAAAAACTGATTTGGTTGGGTTGTTAATGAGGATGAAAGTTTGGATTTAATTGGATTGTTTAGGTGGAAGAAAAAGAAATTAATTTTTTAAAATATAGTTGGGTTTTATTTGATTGTAAATGAGGATAGTTTTTTTATAATATAATATGTATTAATAAAAAATATATATTATTATTTCATAAATATTTTAAAATATAATTTATTTAAAAAAACATTGCTAAAATATAAAAATAAAAAATAGTATGATAAAAGATAAGAGAAATAAAGATGGTTGTTATTTCTTTAGATCAAGTTTTATTTTTCAAAGATGTAGAAAATATAAATTATGTTGCTTGCAACTAAAAAAATGATAGAGAAAGTAGAAACGAACGTTGGAGCGGAGACATACTTGATGGCGATTCCCGCTTGTTTAAGCAAAAGGCGTCACATGAATATAGTGGCGCCCACCTTCCATTCCCATCTAAACTTATTTTATTTCATTATAATATATAATCAAATTTATTATTATTTTTATGGAATATTTAAATTCTCTCGCTTTTATTATTATTATTATTATATTCCGTAAGTTATTCATAACGGAACCAGCTAGAGGATAGCAGATTTACAAATGTGTGAGGTTTCGGCAAATTCAGAATAACAGCACCAACCAATTCAGTTAAGCATTTTAATAATCCATCTGCTCAAAGTTATATATTCGGGTTCAATTGAGAAAAAAAAGGTTGAGAATGGAAAAACCATTCTCAGCTAATCATTTAATAAGCTTAAAACCGCACGGTGGCAAACTTGTAAATAATCCAAATACATTAATTAGCGGTGACAAATTTGTAAATAATCCAAAATCATTAAACCGTCAGGACACGTGAGTAATTTCATCACACATCAAATCTCGACAGAAAACCATCATTTCCCTCTTCGATACCCCATAACACGAAAACCATTTGTAGAAGCATTCAGTAACATAAAGGATTCTCAACATCCAGAAGAAGAAAACGAAGAAAAATGTTTTCCGACGAAAGCATAAACGAAACCATTTCCTCACTCTTGACTACGAAAGGTAACCATCGGCTTTTTTTCTTCGATTTTTAACGATTTCTAATCATTTCTAAAATTATCATTTGATTACTTGAAATTTTCCGTAATCTTCGTTCATTATTAGTTGATTGAGAACTAAAAATTTTGTTTTCACACTGTTCATTCTTCAAACTAGGTTGTTTACTTCAAATTTTGTGATAATCGTTCATTCTCGTAACCCTCCTTCGTTATTACTTGATTTACTTGAAATTTTTGTAAGAATCATCCATTATTAGTTGATATATAAATGATTTTACATCTTCTCTTCATTTTTCATACTTATTCACAACTTTTCTGTCAAAATATAAACCTTACTTCACATTTCGCTTATGTTTTCCTAATATTAATTACCTACCCTTACAGAAACAACACCAACAGTGAAACATACATATAAACGACAAACAAAAACAAATCAAAAAGGTAAATACAATAGGTATTCCATTTATATCTGATTAACTTAGATGAGATTTTACTTAAAATACAACAAAAAATGAACATACTGAAGATAATTTTGTTTTGATATGTTTTGTTTACTTTGGAACACAAGCAAAACTAATATTCATATGTGAATACAACAAAAATAACTTATATATGTTCTATTCACATATGAATATAATATACATATTCATATGTGAATAAAAAATATGAATATATATGTTTTATTCAAATATTCATTTGTGAATATGTATGTTATATTCACATATGAATA